GTCCGAAGATGCTCAAACTCTACTAGTTCCATCTACCGATGCATGAGCCGATGGTGAAACAAAAGTAAGCGACAATTCTGAAAGTGACAAGGAAATTGTCGATGAATATTTTTTTCATAGAAATTGTATGAAACGGTTAGTGAAATATAACTATATTGAGATATAGGTAGTAATCATTTGAGGTAGTAATAATTTTTTAATGTTCATCAAAAATAAAACAACAGTAACACAATTATACGGGAAGTCATGACCCTATAGTTCGATAATAAGCAGATCAGCGGAGAATACTAAAGAAGACTAAAGATTTGGTATGCAATGGGCAGCATTTTAATACTTTCAAATGTAATCAACCTGGTTTGTCCAATTTGCTCAACTTCGAGCTATTGACCTTGGAAATAGTGCTAATTTTGGATCAAAACCTTGAATATCTTAAGAAATGTTGAAAATAGGGACTTGCTTCCCAAGAAAAAAAGGCGTATTTAAAAAACAAGCATTTGTGTAGAACATACTATTGTCAAAAAATTACTTCCTGAAAGGTTATTTACAAAAAAAATGATTTTCTGAAGGCTCTTACCAAAAAAAATAACATATCTCTGTAAACATAAGAGATATAGGGTTGACATCTTGAGCAAAAATGTTTGTTTTAATATTGTCTAAAACTTTGCTCAAGACACCCTTTTGCTACCTCGACCAGGCATGGAAAATCATTTACATTCATTTGCTTCTAACTTTTGCCATTAACAGCATTCCGCAAAATGATGAATATAGCTTTAGTAGGTTTTGTTATTAGCTGCAACTTTTGCCCATAACTCAAATCTGTATCTCTTATGCATCACGAATAAGAGCGGGCAGAACTTGTTACTGTTTTTCAGTGAATGTAAAATACATTCACTTAAAAACAGTAGTGGATTCTGTTTGCTCTGGTTCGTCATGCACAAGAGATATGGATTTGAGTTGTTAACAAAAGTTGTAGCTAATAATAAAACCTACAATTGCTCCACACATTATTTTGCTGTTGATAAAAAAAGTTAGGGACAAATGAATGTAAATGAATGCAAATGATTTTCCATGCCTGATCTAGACAAACAAAACAAGTAAATTTTTCATCTCCCCACTAGGTGAATTAAACATGAAATGGCTAAGCTCAAAAGAAGAGGCTTTTTAAGTGCACAAACTTCTCCCAAGACACTATATGGCTTAAATTTGACAGTTTTCGCATAAACTAAAAAACGCATGTTTTGGCACTTTTAGACCACTGTGCGCTTGTGACGGCTCTAGAGAATCTTCCGGAGCAGTATACCCAAGTAACATTACAGGTTCTATCGCGGTTTTATAGCATTCTACAAGTCTAAATCATGGTCTACAGAACCCTCATAAAACCAAAATTGCCACTTGGGTATGACATACGAGGTGATGAAGTCACGATTAATCAACGAAAAGTCGAAGCGGAGTGATCGGATGCAGAATTCGGAGGGGAAGTCTACTGCGTTTGCCGGAGACAAACTGAAGAAGTTCGGCAAATTTTACTGAAAGTGCCATTAATGTGGAAAAACAGGGCACATGAAGAAGGAGTGCAAGAAGAATAAAGGCAACGCAAACATGGCAGCAATTCCGAAGTCCGTTATATTCATGAGCACTGTCTGTTTCCAAGCGGGAGAACAACAGGAAGATAACGTTCAAACTTGACTCTGGGCCGAGTGATTACCTGTGATTACGAAGAACTTCTTCAAGTCCTTGAGCTCATTGGACCAACCAGTTGTTATCAATGTTGCTAAAGATGGACCCAGTAGCTATGCAAGCTGGAATGATTTCTGGAACCAGTAATCGTGGTGTCATGATAATCAACGTTGGCTACCTGCAGAGAATCTCAACAACGTAAATGCATGGTTTGAGGTGGCCAAGGTCATGTACCAACTGGAAGTAAAGAAACGGAATGAAGCGACTATTGCTTAATCGGCGGATTTGAAGACGGTGACATTCAACATCTAAGATGCAGGACTAATTTATCTATGGTATTGTGAAATTCGCGCAAGGCTTAGTAGATAGAAAGAAGATTAATGAAGATTTCGTAGATTCCCTGCAAAAAGTTAGGGAGTGATGCGAGTAGATGGATTTAGATGCAATAGATGAAACTATATTTTTCGTAAATTGATTCGCTAACTTGTAATTTTCCAACCATCTAAAATTGAGATTTGGATATGTCGCACTCCCAGGTGATATTGAAGAATGCGTTGAAAGCGTTCCGCTACCAAAGGCTTACTTCTTCAGTGGTGTCACTGAGAATCAGGTGGATGCATTCAAAATGTGCTCTGTAAAAATTGATTCCTGCTGGCGATTGTTTTCACCGATGTTGCCTTTTACCACCACCTAGTCTGGGTTCAGAATCCCACAGCCACATTAATATAAAAGCCAATTAAATCTAGCCTAGTCGATTTCGAAGTGTACATCCCGAAAAGCTACAAAGTACCTAAGTAGTGAAGGGTCGTTTCTCTTCCTTTTTCCCATACAAAGCGGCAGTGCAACGGATGCAATTTTGGATTTTTTTTTCATATAACATCTGGTGCATCTAGGAAAGTGGGGTTGATTGACTAGAACACCTGGTGGGGTGTAATTGTGCATACGATGTTGATAATTAGTGTTTGTTCTGACTTAGTTTTCACGGATCGAATTATTAATTGGACAAGAATAAGGATGTGTGCTGTTGAGGAATTTCGTGTGTAATCCATCTCGATTTTCGGGAATCCACGCATCCACACACTTAGTTTTTTTTTCTACCGAGCTCGGCTGTGCAAATCTCGGCAAAAAAAAGTGTTGATAAGATCTCAGCAAACATTTCATTTGTTTGCTGAGATTCAGCTAAGCTTTTTTCCCGAAAGTCAGTAATCAAATGTCACTTTTGCTGAGATCTCAGTGAAACTTTTTTTGCCGAGATTTGCACAGTCGAGCTCGGTAGAAAAAACTAAGTGTGCACATCCAGTAGCATCAATGCATAGCCAATGAGAATAACTCAGAGCGAGAACCACTTCTACTCGGTAGTATGATACATTTATAAAAAAAATGCAGCTACTTATCGCTGAGTTCTTGCAGTTTTTAGAAAGTTCTCCATACCTCTGAGTAAAAGTGACAGTGACAGTTATTCTCTTTGGCCATGTGTAAAAATTGATTTTATAAACAACAATAACATGACACATGCGCGGTGCAAGCGCAGAGATAGTAGAGTGTTGCCAGTAACTTCTAAGATGAGTGTGCCATAGTGCGCCCTTCTGTGTTTTTGGCACACTGTGCCGAAGGACCAACCTCTTATCCAAACCGAAAGATGTTTTGGACTGGACCGGAAATCGAACTCGCTACATCCGGCTCGATAATACCGTGCATTAACTGACTAGGCTATCTGACGCCCAAGATGCTTTTTGGCACTTCATAAGAATGTCAGACGACAACCTGCTAAAAATGACTTTCAAAACTAGAGAAAGAGACGCAATGCGGGCAATGTAGATCGATCAGGTCAAAGGTGACCTGTGGAGCGTTTATAGATAGCGGGGCTGTCGACATGCAGCCATGGACGTCGTGGACAACATCTGAGTTTTTACAGAAAAGCATTACTAATAACTGATTCTAAATACATGCAATTGTCCTGGTTTTAATTCTTAGTGAACTATGATTTCAACCGCACCCAAAGTCTACCTCTCAGGATTTCTCAGCCCCGGATAAAATCCTCCCTAAAAAAAAAACGATTTTTGCATGTATCAACATTAATAAACATTTATTTGTGTCTATTTTTTGCTTGCTCTATTACTGTTATTGTTTGTTGATCTCTGTTATGTCGCTAAAACCAGTACAATTTTTACTATTACGCTTTGACCCTTGCCAGTTGCTAGCTCAAATTCTTCAAAGATGAGTGTTGTGAGGGAAAATTTTGCCTGTCATTGTATACACTTATTAACTGATTGGTTTTCTAGCTTCGGTCAAATTTTACCACGGAAGATTACTTTTGAGAACCATTTTGTTTACTATGTTGCGAAACTTGCGTATGTGTATTGGGGGTACCACGATAAGATTGCTGTCGACTTACTGTTTACATATTTTGTTCTAGTTAAGTCTCATTCTACCGTACGCTAGAGGTAAATAGAATTTTCACTAGAGTAGAAAAAAAGCTAAATTTTACACCGTGAAACAAACTCTTCAACACCTGGTTGCAGTGCGTTTCGGGTTACTTATTTTGTTCTTTAGATTAAAATCAGTCAATCGTTTAATACAGATTTAGGTTGCATCCATACAAGATTACCTTCGCGCTAAATTGTCTACGTTAGTACTTTTTACAGCTGCTGTAACAGGAGTTTAATCGAAATGGATTTCCATTGATTTGCTAGATTTTTGAAACTCTTTCCAGTGCTTTTTTTTATTTTTTTTCCTAAACTTTTTTAACCGTAACACATTAGTCTACAGAACAACGACGAATGGAATTTGTAGTGATTGAAATTTGTTTTGTTGTTAAATTTGCTAAATCGTTTACGATAAGTGGTTCGAGAACAGCACCGACTTTTTGTTATGTTTTTTTTAGGTAATCTAAATTTGGATGATTCTCTCACATTGACGTAAGCCTGTGGGTTTCGGTTTGCCTAATGGTTACTTTTTGGTTCATTTCGCTTCGAAATCTTTCCTTCTAATAAATAGCGTTCCATAATTGGAATATTAAAATAAATAGTTTGTGAAAACGAAAAAAATAATAATAATGATAATGGACCTACTAAACTACGACGCCGTTTGACGACGGTGTGTCCTAAATGTACAAGGCAATAAATAACGTTCCATCAGTGGGTTGTTTTGTTTGTTTGTTTGTTTTTCCTTTTGCAGACATAAATAGTTGGCGCCACTGCGCACTCAATATAAATACAATCCCTTCGAATCAGATCGCTTTTTACACAAATTATCCACTAATGATTAAAACTGATCGACGAAATATTTTTACAACGATTTCTTGTTTCCACACATCTTGCTCCTTTTTGCTGTGATTGTATTGGACACTACTATAGACACTGAACGACATAACCTACTTTTTACATCTTTGAAACATCAACTACTGCAAAAATTATTTTCTGTTTGTTTTTGGTATAAGTTGCTCGTACTAAAATCCGAAAAATTAAGCCAGCAGATGCCAAACGGCGGGATCCAACGCGTTCAAAGTGGCCAGCTTAGGCTGTGGCAGGTGATGTTATGGTTTGACACTGCCAACGGAATGCGCCAGAATAGAAGGCGATGCGAGGCTTCGTTCTAAAAAAAAAGCAAACAGACAACAATCAATTGGACTATCAAAATGAATATAAGGGCTGATGGACTTACCGAAGTTGCACACCCCATTGTACTGTACGTCGATGTAGAATCCGGTGTTGCACGAATCCCGCAGCATGTGACACCAGGAGTGGTAGGTGTGATTGTTGGTGCCGCACAGTTTGACATTGGGCTGGTGGTGTTGGTTGCGCTGCTGGTTTCCACCACCGTGGTTGCCTCCGAACTGACGGGTACGGCCCTGGGTTTTTGGGACGGAAACGAAACGAGTTAGTCGGATAATCTTCCTGTAAGCATGGTCATAAATTAAGATAAGTTCTAATAGTTTGCGATCAATCGTGTTGCATTTCGTCGGGTTGTTCGCAGGATGGTTGCGGGCATGTTGATTAATTCGGCCTGATTAGGAGACGATTTGTAGTGGCTAAATTGGGCCACCTTAATGGGAAATTTGAATTTCAAATGCAGAAGGACCATCGTTGGAGACACACTCAGACAACGCGCATCAGTTTTGGTTAATTTGATTTCTACAGTCAACTCTCCCTAACTCGAAATTGAAGGAACCATCGAGTCAGGGTGGTAATTTTTGAAAATTGATATGGGAAAAGTAGTCGAAGTAGCCTTAAATTCCATAGAGTTTGAAGAATATCGAGTTAGAGAGATCCCAATTCAATAAATATATATTTCTATATTTCATCGACTAAGTCTATTTTTATCTATTTCATGGCTTTAGAAGCCTTAAAACCCTTTTGCAGCCATTCCATAGCAAAACGATATAGTGGTTTGCAGATTTTTTATTTTGTCATTAAGGTGAACATTTCCATGTTAGGGTGGTCGAAAAAATCGTTTTTTTTTCAAGAACTCATAACTTTTGAAGCACAAAGATCAGATTGTCAAATAAAAGGTAATTACAAATGCTTTATAGAAAAAATGTACAGCCATTCCATAACAAAACGATATAGTTTAGTCTACACAACATATCAAAAAATCGGCGATGCAGTTTTCTTCGTTTTTGAGTTAAGATTTTTTGAAATTATCATCTCTAGACATTTCTAGTCTAGGATCAGAAATTGAAATAAATAAGTAATGTGACCATTGATCGTTCGATATGAATCAATGGAGACGCAGTGTAATCTACTCGTATTGGAGTAATGAGCGAAATTTCGAAACATTATAATTTCAAAAAATCGTAACTCAAAATCGAAGATAAATTCATCGCTGATTTTTTGATATGTTGGGCCTTATTACGGGTGTCACTACACGGTGATAATGAAGTGATACTCAGAATAAGAGCCGTGATTGCCGTACACATAAAATTGGAATCACTTCACCGAGACGACAAGTGACAAGTTTTCACCGTGAAGTGACATCCGTAATAAGCCTCGTTGTGTAGAAAAGCCTTTAAAAAATGTCATTTTTGGAAAAAAAAAATAGAAAAAAATCGATTTAATGGACCACCCAAACTTGGAAATGGTCACCTTAATGAAAAAAATGGCTGTAAAGTAATTCAGTGACCATGTTCCAGTTGCTATAAATCTATGGAGACGCATGGTAGTCTAGTCGCATAGGAGTATTGAGCGATAATCCAAAACTTTATAACTTAAAAAACATTGAACTCAAAAACGAAAAAAGTAGAAGGGTCTGTGCCTAGGGACACGAACGGAAGCTTGACGTAGTGGATGGAACAAATATGTTGATCATTTAGTTCTTAACTCTTTCCGTTTTTGAATTGGTGGCCCTGAAAAGGGCCGGTTGTTTTTCGAATGGTGGCCACACCAGTGCAAGTCGATACCGACCGGATGACGGCGGCCTAGCCATGCTCACTATTGCGGGAAGCCTTTCCTTCGGTCAATGTGGGTGCTTTCGTCGTCGTCTCAGTGATGCGACGTATACAGATTTATCTGTAATGTCAGATTTTTCTCAACATTTTGATATATATATATATATATATATATATATATCTGTGTATACAGATTACAGATTTTTTTAAATATACAGATTTTTCAGATTTTTCAAATAAGTGGTATATATGCTTAACTCTGGATTATATTTATTAATATTCATAAATAATCCTTTCTTCCTTTTGAGTAGGTACGTGCATCTGACCAAATCCCAATTTTTACTTTTTTTTTATTATCTTCGTTAATTTGGAATGGACTTCTGATGCTCAGATGTTCTGATTTCTGATTGCTCGTTAGAAGGGATGTTAGTTTTTAATTCTTATTTTTTGATAAACCATATCACATGGTGACAGGTACTATGATTTTTTTTAAATAAGCCGAATCGGTAAAAAAAAAGCCGTTTTAACAACCCACAAGCTGATTGATTACAGTTTGTGAGTCGAACAGTCAACTGGATATTTTGACGTTTGACTTGTGTAATATCAGAATATCAATATAATATAATATCCAAATAAAAGTTAGGTATATAGGATTGAGCAACAGCTAGCGAATGCAATGTCCTTTTAATCTGCCAAATGATTAGATTAAGTTGAAATTTGATTTTATTAGAAGAATTTAAGAAAATGAAACATCGAGCATGATATTTTACAACTAATACTTTACAAAATTTTAATGCTTATTTTCCAAATTCTAAAATTGTTGAGTAAAAAAACAAATGACCTGATAAAATAATTTTCGTAATCTCGTACATAATCAATTGAAATTTTACGAAGATTTGATTGTTTCTTCATTAAAATTTTTCAGGTTGGTATGTCACTCATTACTGGGACTTTATTTTTTTGTATTAAAGACTTTTTTTTAGATTTTTAGAAGATAAAAATCACGCAAAAAAAACAAAATTTCGAGGTGTTTGAAATAGATTAATTCTTTAGAAAGCAAACTTAAGTCATTCTTCAAGATTCTAAACTATGAACAAACTATTTCTGAACTTCATATGATCTCAAGGTATATTTACGATGATCCGCAATAAAATCATGCTATAGAATTCACACAGATTATTTTCCAGATTTTTGTCAGCCAGAAACAGATTTAAAAGATTTTTGACGGTGAAAGTACAGATTGAAAATGGAAATAATGTGGCAACACTGCGTCGTCTTTGTATTGGTGCGATACGTGCTGTTCCACTCATACATCGTGTCCGATGCTTATCAGTCCGTTGTCCGTTGCTCGCAAGCAAATGATGAAGAAAACAATTTGGCAAGCGTTTTTATTATCGCTACATTTCTCTTCCCTTCCTTTCATTGGTGAAATGGTGAGCGGTCAACCGAGCGGTGAGCTCGCTCATGTGAGCATGCGCAATGTGTCGTTTGTTCGATTTGCGCTCTATCGTTGCGTCCATGTTTGGGCTTTTTCGTTACATGTCTGAATTTTATTTTTTTTTAAATGTAGCCCCCAGTATAGAAATTAAAGACATAGTCCTACGTCAAAAAAATACATCGCTGATATTTTGATATGTTGTGTAAAAAAGCTTAGATTTTCAAAGAGAAATATGAAAACATATTGCGTCCTCTGTCTACAAACCTTGTAAACCATAAAATAAAAACAAATAAAATCAATGTGTTTCAAAGCAAATTCCCATTTTTTTAATATAAAAATATGGTTCTTAAAAAATATTTTAAAATATCTTTCATTTGATATTTTGATCTTTAAAATCGGCTCAGGTGTGGGAGCTGTCTCCTTGGCGTCGGAAGCATTGGTAATCAGTATGGAAAACAATATCGATGGCAAACAAAACATTTTGTTTTTTTTTCGTCCTACGGATGATGGTGGAAAAAATGGATTCGCTTGGAGCACCTCTTTTGTTTTTGAGAACAATGGGTGTAAGGGGTGATACGATCAAAATTTGGTCGATTTAAACTTGACAAATTTATTTCAATCGAGCATTGTAAAAACCTGAACACCCCTCATTTTGAAAGTATGTGCGTGCAGAATGATGCCTCAATTTTAAATTTGACATTTTCTCTTTAGTTCTCAAAATGGCGTCCAAGCAAGAGGAACAAAGCATCAAAGTTTTGCACAAGCAAAAAATCTGACCTACTTGCACTTCAAACAGACTTCAAGGCAGAAGTTTTTATACAGCAATCGGAAGGAGAAAGGTAGCAGACCTTTTCAAGCATATGAAACTGTCGAAGGTTAGGAAATTTACGGGAACGAGTGTCTGGAAAAACGTCAGCTACCTTTCCTGGAGCAACACGATTGTTCCGTGCATCCTGCCATTACGAAAAAAAAGGCCATGGAGTTGTTTGTCGCCAACAGCGTGCAGGTTGGACAAGAACCCTCCCAAAACGTCAGATCTCCGCCCAATCGAGAAATGTTGGGCCATCGTCAAGCGGAACCTGCAGTACCTGAAGTAAACTGAGTACCAATGCTACCGACGCCAGGGAAGCAGCTCCCACACCGCCACACCCACACTTCGTGATCAGAAATTTTATACCTCGGAAAATCCCGGTGGCGCTTGAGATATAAACTTAATTTTGGGTATGTTTCTCTTACCGTGCGAGTAAAATTTTACTCAACTGTGAGTTGTTTTTAATAGCCTTGTTACGATCAATTTACAGTGTACTAGTCACCTTTCGCGTCACTAGAGCCGCTAGTGTCGGGAAAAATCGTTCTTCTTCTTCTTCTTCTTCTTCTTCTTCTTCTTCTTCTTCGCATTTCAAGCTTATTGCATATCGTATATTAGCTTATTGCGTGCTCTCAATTTAGTGTACTAGATGCACTTCTTCAGTTATTAATTGAGAGCTTTCGATGCCTGTACCATTTTTGCATTGGTATAATTGTGTGGCAAGTCCAATCATACTTCTATGCCCAGGGAAGTCGAGAAATTTTCCAACCCGAAAAATTTCTAGACCGAACCGGGAATCGAACCCAGCCACCTCCAGCATGGTCTTGCTTTGTAGCTGTGCCTTTACCGACTGAGCTAAAGGAGGCCCCGAAAAATCGTGTATTGGGGATAAGAAAAAGTGAACCATAATGTTAATTTATAATATTTGTGATTATGTCAAGTCACGATCCATACAACTTTGGCATGAAGTTTTTTTCATATTTCGCACGATGGAATTCAGTATGTTAATGCACAGCTCCAGGAAATAAGGAACCTCCATTTGTATGGTCTGACAGAAGAACTTAAAACAGCAATCTATTCTGTGGAAAAATTATGTCAATCGAAAAAAAAACCGCAACACTCAAAGTTCCACCGAAAATCCATGAAATTCTTGACTCAGAATTCTTTTGAATCCCCATTAAATTATTCACAGATTTTTTTCAAAATGCCACTCAGAATTAAAATTCACCAGGAGCTGTATCGGAAATTTTCCTTGAGGTCAATTTAGAATTTCTTCTTAATAAATAAACTGCCATAGTTGCTCCATTACAGGCTAATATCTCATGAGCGCAGAACTTGCGTTGATGGAATTCGCAGGCCTTTTGTTGACGGAATTGTTTTAATTTTCCTTCATTTTATTATCTCTGTTCCACAATCGAGTTGCAATCAACAACGAATTCTTCCAAGTTTTTTTTTAGGAATTGTTCTCCAGGATTCCTAAGAAAATATTTTAAGAATTCCCATAGAATTATTTATTCTTATTCAAAAGTCCAATTACAAATATTTAAAGCATCTGAAAATATTTCCAAGGCTTTCGTATTTTTTTTTAAATACGAAATGTTGAACATTTAACTTATTTCAAGAATCATGAAAACTTCTTTAAACATGAAATATTTGTCAATCAGCCTGAAATCTTAAAAAAAATGCCAAAGCTTCAAATTCTTAAAAAACAAAAAAGACTCAAAATCATGTAGACTTCTTTTAGACCGATAATTTTTTCCAAATCTTATTCGATTATTTAAAATAACTCCGAAGTTCAAGTTAAGTCGGCCTAAGTAGCCCAGTAGTGATCAGGACCGCCAAATTGAAAAATTTCCTAATAAACAATAACCCGAATGATCAAATTATTTTACTTCAATGGTATAAAAACTGTGGATGAAACACCTCGGTTAAGCACTTTCTATTATACTTTTCTATAAGGAATTTCCCTTAGATTCTAAAACTATAACATTTGTGGAATTTCTTCTTCTGAATTTCTTCTGAAAGTGTCAGAAGAGTTTTGTCGTTTGATGAAAAGGTTCCTTCCGAAGTGTGCGTCAATGTCGATGAACATTTTGGGTGCTGTAGAATTTATATGCGGCTTCCCGTGTGTGCTGCAGTCGTTGTGTGCGTTCACTAAATAAGAACGCACGGTGTGATTCCAGGTCTACCAGGGCGTCAATGCGTGGGATTCCAAGTTCTTCGTGGACGTCCAGGAAAATTTCGCGCAAAAGTTGTGTGTCTGGAGGATTAATCTCTTTGGCGACGAAATTAACATTGTTTGCAGGGTACCATTCTAGTACCTCCTTAGAGTAGTGGCAACTGGCTACATCCGGCCAAAACATAACGTTGGTCTTGTGTTGCCGAATGAAGGGTAAAATCCGCTTTTTCAGACACTCTTCAATGTAAACCTTAGACGTCATTGTGTGAGATGTGATGAAAACCTTGGTTTTAAGGCCACAACTGCAGATTCCTTGCCAAATCATTAGTTTCCGAGCAAATTTATCAGCAAATTTATACCTGGAAGGGACATCCCCACGACCAGTTGACAGGTAAAATTTTCGTCCGGGGATTTGTTTATAATCCATTTTGACATACGATTCGTCATCCATTAAAATGCAGCCATCAAATTTCGTCAAAACTCGTTCGTATAGTAATCGTGCTCGCTTTTTGGCCACTAAATTTTGTTTCAGGGAGCAATTCGGATGTTTACTGCCACAAAAAGACTTATATCCTTCTCTTGAAAGGATGTTACGCACGGTGGAAAAGTTAGAATCGTATTTCTTTGCCAAATCACGTATGGAGACACCTGGGTTGCTTTTCACGTACCTCAACACCTTTCTCCTCAGCTCTTTGTCCCTAGTGGCACTTTTATGATAGATGCGCTATGCTCTATCCACACTCAGATTATCCTTGTAACGTTTGATTACAAGACTCACCGTTGACTTTGGGAATTTTAACACTTTTGCTATTTTTGAGGCAGACCAAGAAGGGTTCTCTAGATGTTTATGCACTGTTAATTTTCTTTTCTCAAGTTCCATGATCCGTAATTTCGCGATGCGTCGATCAATCGAGAAAAACTTTTCACCAATTTCTTCGTCAATGAAACATCAACAAATGCCTGTCAAACGTTTTTTGTTCCAACCACCAGGGGCGCGGTGGTGTATTAAACCATGCGTCCAGATTTACTTTGAATCGAGCTTTAATCAGTTTCGGTTTGACAGTCTGGCAATCCCTCATCAGAACAAATTAATTTTGTGATTTGTCCCTACGTTTCGGCTCTGATTAGGGCCTTCTTCAGGGGAAACTGAGGGGAATTTTATTTTAAGAATGAATTGTTTAACATTTTTTAAATATTTTGCACTCACAATTGTTAGATTTGTCCTTTGTCCAGATACTGTTTGAAGTCTAACGTCTGTTTGTTTGTTGGTAAGTTTTTATGCATAGCGGTTTTTAGTTGAATTATTTTAAGTTTTGTTGAATGTTTTACCCTTCTTACAAAGAAGGGTAAAGATATCACTTGAAAAACCGACTGTCGATCCGAGGCCCGGAGGGCCGAGTGTCATATACCATTCGACTCAGCTCGACGAGATCGGAACATGTCTGTGTGTGTGTGTATGTGTGTATGTGTGTATGTGTGTGTGCAACCGCTCAACCGATTTGGACAAACTCAGCGCCAAATGATAGGTCTTGGGGTCCCATTGAACGCTATTGAACGGTTTTGGAATCGGTGAACCGGTTCCGGAGATATGGCCGGAATAAGATCCGGTGAATATGGACCTTCACGCTGGATTTAACGGAAAACGTATCAAAACCATCATATACCACTCGACTCAGCTCGACGAGATCGGAACATGTCTGTGTGTGTGTGTGTATGTGTGTATGTGTGTGTGTATGTAACGAAATGAATGCGCTCACGTTTCTCAGCAACCGCTCAAGCGATTTGGACAAACTCGGTGCCAAATGATAGGTCTTGGGGTCCCATTGAACGCTATTGAACGGTTTTTGAATCGGTGAACCGGTTCCGGAGATATGGCAGGAATAAGATCCGGTGAATATGGGCCTTCACGCTGGATTTAACGGAAAACGTATCAAAACCATCATGCGACACATCAAATTACTACAGAATTCAAAAATAAGATCAATACAAGTCGTGTTAATTGTTCCAGACCACATTGGACACACTTGGACATGTTCCGGGTACCCCGGGGAAGTTGCTTGAATATGAATTGAATTAAAACTCATTAAATCACATTAAAATACGATGATAAGCCTCACCAAATAGACTACACCCGGATATATTCCGGGTACCCCCAGGCAGTGGCGTAGCGTCACTGGATAACACGGGGGTGGGGGGCTTGGTCACTGATAATGACAATAAAATAAATAAACTTGAATAAGTAAGAAGGGTCTGATCACACCATAGGTGGATAAATTCGGGTTTTTTAATTTGTGTCGGGTATAATATTTGCGGTTGTGCACTGTTCGAGGGTTATGGTGGTTATGGTGAAATGGTGGGAACGGGTATTATAGTTGAGCTTTTTAGTTGGATTCGGGTGGGCATAATTGGCATTGCTGTTGGGCATTGATGGATTTGGATTTTAGTGAGTGTAAGATCCCTACGTAAGCTGTGTTCAAATTGTCTCCGTCTGTTCGTCTATTGACTGTATTGGGTGTACTATATATATGGCACATATCAAGGATTAACTGCTATGCATAAAAACTTACCAACAAACAAACAAACCGACGTTAGACTTCAAACAGTATCTAGACAAAGAACAAATCCAACAATTGTGAGTGCAAAATATTTATGAAATGTGAAACAATTAATTCTTAAAATAAAATTCCCCTCAGTTTCCCCTGAAGAAGGCCCTAATCAGAGCCGAAACGTAGGGACAAATTGCAAAATTAATTGATTTGTTCTGATGATTGATTGCTGGACTGCCAAGCCGAAACTGATTATTTAATTTAAATATTATAGCCGCTCCTCGAAGAATTTTAGTAAATATATCGCAGTACCGATCAATATCAATTTTTTTAAAATGATGATTCCGATATTAGAAAATAAATTCTGGCAACTCTGATTCGGGTGTAAAACAAAAATCTTGAAACTCAAACTCACCACAGTTTGGTAAGAATTGTAGCTGGTGAGTTTTGTTAGCATGATATCAGAGCAGCCGTATCACAGTTTGTAATATCATCCGCTGTTGTTTGCTTGTTTATTTTAGCATACGATAATCAAATGAGATTATGCTCATTGATGAGATTTGATCTTTTGATATTTTCCCAACACTGAAATCCTGTGAAGAGTTCCAAGGGAATTCAGATATGGGAGTATTTTTTTTTTCTTGATCACGAACACCAAATTTAGAATTTCGGATCATTTTAGGATTCTGAGATTTGAAAAAAAAAACTCAACGCTGCCCCGGCATAGTGGTTAACATCCATACCTCTCGCGCCAAAGTCACGAATAACCCAAGAGAGTTATAGTGACGACAATAAAACAACAAACTGACCACATTAAGACTTTTAAGGAGGGTTCAGCATGAAGCACGGATGCAAAAAGAGCGATAAACGAAGATAATATTCAGTAGAACTTCAGAGTAGATATTGGGTACGTATGATTTTTGTAGTTGAGGAGAATATAAGGTTGCTTAGCACCAAGTCCAGTAGAAACGAATTCATTATTTGGTGTAAAATCAACGAGCTGGATTGCAGTCTATAATGTTTGATACAGTACTACACTGATAAAATTTCAAAGATTGAATTTTTGCAATGTGATCAACAAATAATATCTATGTGTCGGACACATACTTAATATGTGTACACGTAAAAGCCATATGTAACCACACATACTATTAATTTGAGTCATAAATTTCATGTGTGCTTCTAGGTGGATTATGTTTATGTGTGGTCACATGAAAATCATAGGGAATTTTACAAGGAAATTCGCCAATAAAAATGTGTGGAATTCTATCAGTGTAGCTTATGTATACTTGTGTCGTTGAAAATAGCAAAAGCAAAAATCATGGGCTATATGAATTTTATAAAAGCGTCCATCTCACACAGATCTGGCAACATCGAGATTTTATTTTTTTTTTAATTCCTGGAACCACTGCAACTTAGGACCTACGTTACCAGCCGCTTAAATTCCTTGAAAACCATCCATCCACATAACTCACCTGCTGGGGCCGCTTGGTCCGGGGGCACTTATAGCTACAGCTCACGCAGCGCGGATTGTGGCTTTGCAGATCGGTCAAGCACTGCTGTCGATCCTTGCATTTGATGGTATCACATGTGGCGGCTTCTGAAATGAGACGGAAATAAAACTCTTAATAAAACAATAAATTCTAACTTCGTTTTTTTTTTCTTTCCAACGCGACATTTGGCAATAAAACTATATTCCCTCCGTCATCGTAATCATCGGCGACGATGGTGGCTAATCATTGGGACTGTACGTGAGACTAGGGCGGGCGCGGAATTTATGCCCAAATTAACGATGGTGGACACAATTTGAAAGTCGGTGCGGGACGATCTCTGTTGGTTCCTTTCCAAACCCAAACCCTTTCCTCTGATGATTTTGGCGATTTTTTTTACGATCGAGATAATTTTATTGAGAACGATTTCCAGCGAAGAATAAGAAGAAGACATTCAAATTGCATTTCCTTTTAATTGGTTTTCGGTTGTGGCCGAGATATGCGCCGTAGTACGGGGTGTGAATTGCACTCAGTATCGATTTTTTTTCTGGGACCTCGTCTCGTTCGACTTTGCGTTGAATCATGATCATCCATGACAAATATTGAATTTTGGTTGTCGGGTTTACGCAAATCATCGTATGCAACGTCGGATTAAAAAATTTACGACCATTTGATGGTTTTTCAATACCTTTCAAGGCGGTGCTTTTTCGGACGCATTGCAAGACGAGAGCCAAATTTATGGATTTTAAATTGATCATATCGTTTCGGGTGCTTTTAGCATCATCGAATCTGATGGTTGTCTGTAGTAGATGCCAAATCGCGCAAAATGGATGTAATTTATGTGTTGGAGACGGAGGGATAAGTTTCAAGGACTCGTGTGTGTTCTCCTAAACAGGGTTAATTTTGTGGAGAGTGACTGTTTTGAGGATTTCTGCAGCCTTGTGTGAACTTGTCAGACCAGAAAAGTGCAGTACATGTTGAAATAATGTCATCAATCTCATCAGTCAAACTTCTTAATACTTATAACACTACATAGAACAATGACTTATGGAGAGAACAATGCATGGAAAAATCAAGGAATCCATCGAGTTATAGAATATCAAGGTGTGCAGACTGTAATTAATAAAAATGTCCATCGTGAGGCCACTTAACACCTAGGAGTAAAAAGGAGTTAGCACATGATTTGACGCGTTGACATGAATTTAGGTGTGCTTTATTTGACGTGTAGTTGGTTGACTTGAGCCATTTTGGTTTGAGGATGTGGATCTGTGTTCTGTTTTAAATTATATGTGCACAGATAAAAATTCTTAATTTTAATTGTGATGTAAACATTCAATCACGTAGACTTGTATTTCATTTCACGCAACCGAGCAACTTGCAAACAATGTTGTTTACAAAGATGAGCTTTTGTATACAATATTTGCTACATTGTATAAAATGTGTCAGAGCTTTACATGATATATAATGTAAACGTATATGATATGTGACGGTTCATTTATGTGCATCATATTGAACCGAAATTTACACTACTTTTTCGAACTGTGTGGTTGTCTATTTAGAATAGTACAATTACCGCAATCATGGGGCAAATTGATCACCGGGGTTAAATTGAAGTATGGAATTCTATGTTGACTGAAAAACGATTTAACTATTGCCAGTAAAATACCGCTATATGAATCAATCATCTCTCCTCATCTAGACTTTTGCCCATCAATTTTATTTCTGGCCAATGAAACACAAATATCGAGATTACAGCGCTTGCAGAATAAAATAGTGCGTTTGATTTTGAGATGCGATAGATCCACTTCCTCAACTTTGATGCTAGACGCCTTTCAATGGCTGTCGGTGAAGAAAAGAATTGTATATTTGACTATGGTGTTCATTTTTAAGGTAGTTAACGGTTTACTGCCTCGATATTTATGTGATTGATTTGAAAAAAAGAAAGTCACTTTCATAGATATAATACCAGAAACGCGGTGGAAATAAGAACACCACATTTCTTGACTTGTACTTCACAAGATTCATTATATATTAAAGGACTTAATGTTTTCAATTCGATGCCTAGATATATCAAACGTTCAGCAACACTTACAGAATTTAAAAAAAACTGCATTTCACACGGTAAAACTGTCTTTTGAACAGTTATCCAGTGATTGACGAATTTATCTCTATCGGATTATTTTGTATGGATAGCTGTCATAACGACTGTTTAATATTTATTGTAGCACTGCAAAACTATTTCTATTCGCCACGATGGTGATAATGGATTTTTAATATTTGATATAATAGTATAAGATTAAAGTAAAAGTAGTCTACAAAGGTTTGAGCCTCGTGCGCGTATTACGGATATAGAGGACTGAATTTAAAACTTGATAAAATATGTAATGAGTTAGTCAAGGGGTAAGGAAGTCAGCACAGTGTGCCGAAAGTAGATTCAGCACAGCTTGGGCACATTCATCGGTAAACCTTCGGCACAACCTCGGCATTGGATTGTTCATTAAATAAGATGGGAGCATTGCTGCACAGCTGTCATTGAAGTAGTTCTCCCAAAAATATTACTAAACAAAGAATCATTTTATGTTTAAACAATCGTTGTATATTGATTTGATTAAAATTTATTTCAAATGTATATTAAGTTCGGATAATTTTTTGACATGTTTGCAAAATCTATAAATTATTTCTCTCGTTCCATTTAATGATCCAATTTAATAAAAAGGAGATTGACATCTTGCTGAAAGTTATTATAATCGGTGATCAAATTACTTCAGAAAAAATGTTAATGGAATAATTCAGATCTCCGCCTTTACGTTGGATCATCAGTATACTCGCAGTGCATTATGCCGTTGATGAGTCTGAATCCATTCGTTCGGTAGCACCACAGTCTACTTCTTCTGCATATTGAATCTCAAGCTACTGATGATATCAATACTTGGAACTAGTACGGGGGTCTCATTTCGAGAGACCGTCATGCCCGCTTGTGGGACATTAGCGCTAAAAACCTCGTCAGACTGAGGTGGATGAGGTGAGAAAAATAGAATTCTTTTGACATCGATTCCGTAACACCTAGCCCATTCTCTACAGGTATATTCATTGACATTCTCAAATGAGTTTCACAATCGAACGCTGTATCAGGTGACGTAAAGGATCCGGAACTATCGGATGGAGGGAGATGGTTTTCTGGTTGATTGCATTGTATACCAGAAGTTTTAGACAGCTGCAAAGCTAACAGTGCACCACAAAGCTATGAAAAAACGTATAGGTAGGATGTTCTTTAAGGTCATTTCATTGCAGATGTAATCCTGGCATATGAACTCTTTTTCAGGGCATGCTGGTTCATTCTGGACAGAAGTCGTACAAGTGTGAAAACTGTGAAAAATACTTAAGGCAATCGACTTTAGATTCACGTTAGGACCCACTCGAACGAACGTCCTTTGCTTACACAATTTTGTAAAGCTTTTCAACGAGAAGAATAATCCAACAACCTACATAAGAACTAATTCACTCGTCTGCAAGGTCTATCGAACATAGTTTCATCATCCAACATGACTGGTCAAACTCGTTCAGATTTACTGTGCAGATCAGAACTGAACATCTATTCCGGTTGTATCAAAGTCTCCATAAATGAGGACGATATGGGATATCACGTGAAGCAGCACAATAATAACAAGCCAGATCATGAGCATGAAGACGCACATATTCCAGGATTCGTTTCAATATTTGAGTTCGCGTTCGTTTCCAAACGAGAAAGAAGTCAGCCGTCACTTGTTGGTAAATTCAACACCGAAGCCGTTTATTTATTAATTTTATTTATTTATTTATTAATTTATTTAACCTGAACACTCACGACCGGACCCACACGCGATGGAATGAAGAAGAAAGAAGACCCACACGGGTGAAAAATCGTTTTCAGCATCATTTTCCGTTTGTGGCCACTATCTTGAGTTCAATTTGACAACCTTTCGTGTCCTTGTGTGGGATCTGGATCATTACCATGACTGCTCAGTGGATATTCCGCATAGCGATTCGACGGTGGACTGTAAAATCAATACACTTTTTTTGAATGAATCCTGCTTCTGCTGGTTCACAGGATGCACTTTGCTCGATTTTAAAGAGTAGTTTTTTCCCTTCAAATGTTCAAATCGCCTCCAGCAGCTTTTCAAAATGTGCCTTGTCTTTGTCGTTGTTATCCTGAACCAACTGCTTCGCCAACGGAATGCCCTCCTCACCATCCTTCTCGATATTCTTCTTGCTGGTCAGGAAAAAGATGAACTTTTCACACAGCACCGATGTAAATATTTACATTATTTGACAAATCTCAGGTAATCATGACAGCAGTTGGTCTCTTTTCTTCATTCATATTGTTTTCAATAATCAAACGTCATGATTACCTGGGTATTGTCAAAAAAGGTAAATATTTACGTTGTGTGTACCAAAGAATAGTATTGGTCATTTCGTATCCCAGCAGCCAGGCCAAAACATTCAAGCTGTCAGAAATACCGGGTTTCCAAACATACGTATTTTACAAAAAATCGCAGCTTGCTCTATGACCGGCAAAATCGGCACTCCTGCGGCACACTAAGAAAAATGTTGACCCAAGATCAGGCATAGAAAATCATTTGCATTCATTTCATACATTCATTTACATTCATTTACCTCTAACTTTTTTCATCAACAGCATTCCGCAAAATGATGTATAGAGCTTTTGTAGGTTTTGTTATAAACTACAAGTTTTGTTCATAACTCAAATCTGTATCTCTAATGCATCATGAACTAGAGCGGGCAGAACTTGTTACTGTTTTTCAGTGAATGTAAAATACATTCACTGAAAAACAGTAGTGGATTCTGTTCGCTCTGCTTCGTCATGCATAAGAGATACGGATTTGACTTGTTACCAAAAGTTGTAGCTAATAACAAAATGTACAAAAACTCTATACATCACTTTGCGCAATGCTTTTGAAGAAAAAAGTTAGAGGTCCCTTCAGATTGGTGTGCGGAGTTACCTACCCCTTGGAGTTAGTAGTAAGTTTTCTGGCAAATGTTGGGGGTTCGTGAGCATTCCTGACATTGCTGAAAATTATGATAGCATCAGATTGCGGGGTTGCTAGTGCAA